CATGGATTCTTTGTAAAAGCTGGGGCTTGTAAGGGCATCCACACTCAAGCAAAGGATGACCCACAGGAGTGGAATTTAGAAAGATCATTCATGCTTTATTGAACAGCACTGTAGAAGGCAGAGAACATTTTCACAAGCATGTTTGACTGAGGCAAMATTTTCTTTATTCCCATCAGTGGGGTATGGGCAGAGAGGGAGGTTCACGAGGTCAAACACAAGACCTCTCCCTCCATTGGCTGCAGGTCAGAGCTCAGGTACTCAGAGAAACTTCGCCTGTAGTCACTGCTGGCTATGAAAGTGGATTTACAAATCACAGGTTCTGCTCTGTAAGCCTTTACTTACATATTGCTAACCCCAAACTGTGCCCACAGACACRCAAGAAAATACCCCTGGCCAGGTCACCAATCCAAACCCTGTCCAAGCACAGGGTGCCTGGCAACTTTGCAGTGAGCCAGTGCAGGCAGGAAAGAAGTAACAGGAAAAGGACAATGTGGTACAAACAAACAAGAAGTAATTCTAGCTCAGGAACACAAGCTTATGAAAGGCAAATAAGAAATCTGGATATAAATACAGGTGAATGGCTACACAGAGCAAGTTTATTTCTGATGAATAAGCTGTAATGTAAAGCAGAATATCCAGCAACTGGCTATAAAACTATTCCAGGCCAGGTTGGATGGTGCTCTGGTCAACCTGGTCTGGTGGAAGATCCCCTGCCCATGGCAAGGGGACTGGAACTAGATGAGTTTTAAGGTCCCAGCCCAAACCATGTTATGATTCTATGACCACAGATGCCAGAACTAATAAAGACYTGGGCTTGTTTTTTCAGGGCTAGTAGTCCAGCTACCAGTGGATTATATTCTCTTTGTGGGTTTGTTTTTGTTTTTGCAGCAGAATTTAGGAAATCTATGCAGCAAATCTATCAGCTTTTCTGATGTCAGTGAAATTACAACACCTTTGCAATTTAGGTTACTTATTTCTCAAATAAACTGATAAATTAAACTACCACAAAATCCAAGATGCATCTAAAGAAAGTGGCAGCTCTCCAGGTAAAAAGAATAAGCCATCTGCTCTAAAAAATATAAGGAAAAAATCTAATAAAACCCAGTGACAGATCACTTCACTCATTGAGAGAAACTTGGAACAGTGAGGCTGAAATCAGCTCCGTGAAACTGGAGGAGTCACACAGCAGAGAGGGTGATGGCGTTCTCTACACRAGACTCAACACATACTTCAAGTCTTAATTCTTACTACCACTACTACTGTTATTATTAATCCTTTTTTAAGTCTGCCTGCAACTTTGAGATGGTCTTTGGCTGGTAAAACTTTKGGGGTTTGAGCACTGCCACASAAAGGAGGAGATAAGACTCAACTAGAAGCCTTTCTATTTTGTTTCTGGGAGTGATTGTTCTGTGTAATTACTTTYGGGAGAGTTATTTTGTCACCTTTGGAATGAAGGTATTTAAGAGTCTGGACATTAATTAGGAAGACAACAAGTGACTACTGAAAGAGTTTAGTCCAACTATGATCAGAGACAAACTGTTTTCAAGCTAGAAGATCTGTTTGGAGCTGGTTTGYGCTGGAATGTCACCCACACAAATCTTGTGAGGGAACACTAATTGACAATATGCTGAAAATTATGAAGCTCATGTTGGAGCAAAATCTCTGTGGCTGAAAAAAACCTGCTCAAAGGAGGAAACATTTACATTCCAGTTTCTAAATTAGCTATTAATTAATATAAAATTTTGATTTGTTTTTTTTTTGCAAACATCTTCACACAATCTAACTTTCTTGTCAACATACTGGTTTTCTTCATGCTCTTCCCCTTTTGTTTAAGCTCTTACCTCAGGCCTCATTGTAGAATTGAGTGTTAGAGCTTTACACTAGCATCTAAAGTCTAATAATCTAATTCTTGAGACTATTGYAGACCAACTGGCAATTTAAATTTAGGCCTTTGCATCTTAAAAATAAATTAAATATTTATATATACAGTAGACTCAGTTCTCTACAGCCCATGGGCACCTGGGCTAGTCTTTCCTTCCCCAGAACCCATCCCAGTCTCCTTCTGTTGGCTGAAATGAACAACAGTGAATGTATGAATAAGAAAATAATTTTTTAAAAAATAGAATAAAATAATTTTGCTCAGGGCTGGAACTCTACTTTAAATACATTCCTGTCTTGCACTGTCTTTTTTTTTTTTCTTGCAACAAAAAATGGAGCATCCCAGTGTGGGAGATGTTCAAGATCAAGGTTAGAAAAGAGGAATTTTCTCCAAAATGCACATTTCATAAAGACACAGTTGCTCACCCTAGAGCCTGATCTTTCTGCTATTAGGAAAGTCCTTGTTGTTSCTGCTGAATTGCTACAAGAGCAGTGCTGTGGCTCCAGGGGCCCCCTCAGGCTCCCCTCATGCCAAACAAAGGAAGACTAATTTTCTGCCTGTAGAAACAGGTGTGCTGGGGCATGGAKACCCTGGATGCTACGAGCTACTCTGAGCTGTACTGCTTTAAGGAGGATTCTGCTGTTTAAGAAAGAAGAGTAAGGGGTGGGTGGGATCCTGTACTCCTGGATCACCCACKGTCACTCAGAAATGCTACAGGAAAATATGAAAGAATGAATCAGAAATAAAAAAAAAACATATAGATAAATAAATAACCCCACCAGAAGCCCAAACAATAGAGGGTGTAATTAAAATCTTGCCTCTGCTGAAATCAGTGGTAAAGAATTTCTCTCCTTATCTATGTTACTGTTTTTCTCCAAAGGAGCAAGGTCAATGAAGAGGTTTACCGTGCAGGGAGAAAAATAAACAAACAAACAATGTCTATGAGAACTACATAGACAGCTTTGATAAAATATTACAAAATGTGGTAATATGCCAGCAATGCTGACTGCTGATGTRCAATCTGCCTGTCAAGGTGACCAATGTATTTGATTCACACATTTCTAATTATTACGCACTAACTGTTTCAATCAATTAAATTGCCTTTTTTTTTTTTTGGCTGCTCAGATGAATTTAATGTTTTTACCCTCTCTCTCTTGAATCTTGGTTGCTTGATCTCCATTGAACTGTGATCCTTCCTTTTGCATTAGGTTGTGATGCCAAAGCTCTGTTCAGCCGAGCAGTAGAAGAGCTCCCACAGAACCCTACTGGGATACTCACAGTGGTAAGTGATGAGGTCAGGTGGGCTTCAGTCAACTGGCATTTATCTGTGCTGTATATTTTATGGCTCTAAATTCAAGTGGCAATCACTTTAAAAATTAGTGCAACGTCTTTAATTAGAGGAGAAGAGCAACAAAGAACCTATAATTATTTAAAAAAAACATCATGTGGTTGACGCAGTGAGTACTGTTTTTGTCGTCACAGTGAGTCCACTCTGCTTTTGGCTTAGGTCACTCCTCAGTCAGCTTCAAGGGCAATCACTACTAATTAACAAAGCTTTTGAACTCTTCCAGGGAATGCGGCCCAGACTGCTGAGGTGCTGTAAGAATACTCAGGCACACAGCTCTTAAGGTTGTCCCCTCCATGCAGCCATCTGAGTCTTTCTCACTAGAGAACCACCTTCCATGCTCYTGATAATTTGGCATGTGTGTCCATACTCGGAATAAGACAAAGACTACTCAGGCTGTGCAAAGCAACCATCTCATTTCTCTACTTCAATGAACAGAATTAGGACTGGACACTAAAACTGGAGGTTTGAGTTGGGTTAAATCTAGCTGGTGGCATCCGTCTAGCACCTGAGTTAGTCAAGAGTCAACACCAGTGTATTTTGTGTTGGGGCAGCATATTTTGGGCTAAAAGAGGGTTGAAAGAGTAAGCAAAGCTGGTGCCTTGCATCTGAGGTTAGATTTTCTATTGTGGGGCATGCTAGTAGAAACTCTTTTCTATAGACAAACATGATTTCTTTAAAGAAACAGAGAACTCCACCACCAGTTTCCCCTCCTAACTGTAAGGACGTGCTGTATCACCGATAACCTCACCAGACCYGAAGGGATTATATCATTACTGCTCTTTGATATGCAGATAATGGGAGCTGCTATTCTTATCCTGCTGGTTTTGCACTGAATGGAAAACACAAACAGGTTCTCCCATGTTCTCCCTGTGCCCRTCCCTCCTGCCTGCCCAGGTTGCACAACTGCAGTGGACGGGCGGTGGTCCGCGAGGAGCAGGTCCTGCTGCTGGCCACAGGCACACGGCTGCTGACGTGACCGAGCCGCTGACCATCAGCTCCTGCCCTGCAGCATCACACCACACAASCCCAGTTTATTCCAGGGACTTATTAAAAATACTGTAGACCTCTTTTAATTTAGGCCATAATTGATAGCTGGCTTTGGCAAAGAGCAATTTTGCAGGCGTCAAGAGTTTAATCGCGGCCACGCGAACGAGCTTCCCTTGAGTCACAGCTGCCCCGGTGTCACAGAGGAGCATCCCTGAGTCACAGCAGCCCAGACACTGGCTCCTTTCCAGCAGGAGCAGAAGAAAAGCTCACACACCTATAGAAAGGTCTTTAAATAAACAAACAGTTGCTTCCAGGGGGGGTCAGCCTCTTTGGTCAAGTAACTTGGGACAGGATGAGAGGACATGGTTGTAAGCTGTGCCAGGGGAGGTTTAGGTTGGATATCAGGAAGAATTTGTTCAGGAACAGAGATTACACATTGAAAAGGGCGGCCCAGAAAGGTGGTGGAGTCATGGTCCCYGGAGATGTTAAACACTGGACATGTCCCTCAGTGCCGTGGTCTGGTTGACATGGTAGTGTTCGGTCATAAGTTGTACTCGATGAGCTCAGAGGTGTTTTCCAAACTAGTTGAATCTGATCTTCTTCCTGCGGTGTCCAAGGAATCCCAAACCACGGAGGACAATCAGGGGGATGGGTGGCCACGACTTGAACCCGAGGCGGGACTCGAACCTGAGGAGCCTCAGGCCGCGGGCTCCACCCCGCGCTCCCGGGGGGCTGAGCCGCGCAGGCGCAGAGGGCGCGGCCGAGCGGGGGCGCTGCGGGGCGGTGGCGAGAGCGGAGCAGCGGGGCCGCCATGGGTGACGCGTTCGGCGGGGCGGAGTCGGGCACGCAGGTGAGGTGCGGCCCCCGCCCCGCTCCTCTCAGCCCCGGGCCCGGGTACACGGGCGGGGTGGGCCGGGCGAGGCCGCAACYGGGGGTAAAAGGAGCGCCGAGTCTCTCCGCCTCACCGCCAAGGGGCAGGCGCGCCCCCGCGGGGACTCTGAGGGCGCGGTGTGGGAGGGAGGGAGTTCCGCCCCCTCGAAACGCCGCGGAGGCTTTCCCGGTGCATTTCCCGCGGATCCAGGAGGGATCGGGGCCCCGTGGGTTCCTCTCTTGGCTTAGTGTCGGGATGTAGGTGCGCTCCTGCCCATGGGCGCTTCTTGCAGCACCGGAGGAGAATTGGTTCAGGTGTCTCGGTAACTGCTTGATAAATATTCCCTTAGCACTYCCCTCCCAAGCGTTGGAGGGGGTGCTTAAGGAGGAAGATGTGAGGAAGGTTTGATTTAAAGGTTCGGACTTGATCTTAAAGGTCCCTTCCTACTTCATTATTGTATAAATAAACAGTACGCGAGGTGGAATTGCTTCCTTCTTCTCAGGAGAAAACGGGTTTGAGTTTCGGGTTTTTGTTGTGTTGTTTTAGTAGGGTTTTTATTTTCTGCATGGTTTATTTGTTAGARACTTCCACTTGCAAACAGCAACTTAACTGCTTGGAGGTTTATATGTAACTCCCAGAATATGCTAAATAGTTCACATAAAATAGAAAAGGGTGATAATGTTTATTGTTACAGCTCTGTGTGTTTTTAGTGGGATTTGAGCTTTTAAGCCCTTTTGACACTTAAAAAATAAARAAATTAGTGCCAGCTGTCCACTATCAGCAAATAGACACGAATTAGGGACATGAGCTGTGCTTTCTGTCCAGGGGGTAAATGCATTTATTTGTCCAYGAGTGGTGCCAACAGGGAATGCATATGGCATCAACTGCCTGCAGTGGATGGATATCCAACCTGGAACAAGGGAGGAATTGACAACCAGTGGGTTAAGAAGGGTCAATATATGAATGCAGTGTGCAGAAAAAAATTGTAAAAGTGCTTGAAACRGAAAGCACTTAATTTAAAACAATACTTCCTCAAGTAGTCTCATGCGTAAAGTCAGATTTTACTGAGTTATGCTGAAACCGCAGTGTTGTACTTTTATTATTGAATCTAATTAATAGAGCAAATTAGAACTTTCTGCAAAACACCTTGGGTATATCACAATAAAAGTAATGATAAATAGCTTCCATATGTCTTCATACCCAAAGTTTACAAAAGCTCACTCAGAGTGGTTACAGTGGTTGAGAATTAAATTTTGTCTCGTACTCAAGATAGGTTTGTATAAATAGCCTGTAGGTTAGCTCACAGCCGCTAACAGAGCTGGAGTATTTAATTTGAATTTCTTTAACATTTTAATGAAGTAATCTCTCATTCCTGACAAGACCTATGTGTGTGTTTCCATTTATGCACAGCTCTGTTGAAACCAACAGAGTATAAGCACATCATGCATTAGTCAGTAGGAATGTCTACATGCATATTTGTTTATTAAAAGGACGATAAATTATAAAAGGCATAGTTGAAATATTTGAGTCCCATCAGCTTTGTCATTAGTGACATTTAACCCAGCTGCTACTGAACTCTTGCTGCACAGCTTGTTCTCTACATGTAACTGCACAAATGTGCAGTTCTTGGTGGCATAATTACATTTTCAAAGAATACCTCAGAGTGAGGACCTATCACTAGCAGGTTGCTACAACGTGTGTTTTGTGTAAAAGAAGATGGAGAGGCTTATGAAAGAAGAGATGAGCATCTCCAGTTTGATTATAAAATCTGAAGTCTCTAATATTGGATTTGAAATTGACTTGGGATTTTTTTCTAAGCTCTTCCTACTCCAAGATTCTCTCCAGTGGTGCTGTACTGTTGTGTTTTGTACGTTGTCTGTGACAAAGCTTGGGTCACCTGACGTCTGCCCTCTAGATTTCCCTTTACATGCCGTAGATTTCTCCCTCTGTCATTTTACAGAAGAACATGTGAGGAGGCAAAACAGAAATGCCTCCCCTGGAACAGAGCCAGAGTGACTCTTACTCCGTTTGGAACAGCCCGTGTTGTCCCTGTCTGTAGTATGGGCAGAGGTGAGAGATGCCTGTGTAGTGTCTCATCTCAGCTTTGCTTCCGTCACTTCTGCTGCAGTGTGGACAAACCTTTGTGAGAGTTGAAGGAAAAYTGTTGGCTGTTTCTGCCAGGAACCCCGTTGCTCCCAGCATGGCACTAATGAGGCAAGTGCCTTTGGAGATTCTGCTTCAGAACTCGGAAATAAATACAAGCTTGMTAAAAACACAGGTGCGCTATCATCAGCAAATTACCATAAATTACCTACATGAGCAGTACTCAGAGAAAGCACCTGTAGTTATTTAAAATTAATACATAAACTTGTCATTTAAATAACTGCAGATTCATATTTAAACGATAGCGATCAATCTGCCATGTATTTYCAGAGCTCTTTGAGTAAACTTGAAGAGGTGATAGTCTAAAAGGAGACAGGAGCTCACTGTTTCCTGAAGAAATAAACTGCAGAGGATGTGTTTGGTAATGTGCAAATTAATTTAGGAGCAGGAGGCTGCAGAAATGTGTATAAGCCAGCAATAATTGTGACTGCTGGCCCCAGCAGTGCCCATAATTGAGCCCCTGTTATCCCTGAGTGCYGCAGTGGTGCTTCCTTTGCTAAGAAGTCAAGAGATCAGACAACTGCAGCCTGTGGTGGTTTTCCTCTTTCTCTCAGCTTCCACTGCCAGACAATGGGGTGAGAGATTCCTGGTCCTTCTTCTCACCAGAGGCAGGGCCCGGCCTTGGCAGTGGCTTGCACAGAAGAGCTGCACATGTAGGGTCTGCCAAGCCCCTCTTGGTAGTTGRAAGTTGCTGGTTTATGCACCCCAACATAGATTCCTGTATTGTTGTGTACATATGACCATCTGGATTTTTCTTTGTCCAGATCATGGAACCCTGCTGGTTCCCAAGAGTTCACCGTGCCAGTGTTCTCTGTACTGCACAAATATGTGAAGTATAATGGGAGGATCTGCAGATCCAGAGCAAGGTCTATTGGAGTGTTTTTCTGGCCCTTCAGWGGACAAGTCAGAAAACTCTCCTGGATACATGTGAAGAGGCCAAGGCAAACACACTGACATTTTGCTAATGGAAGGGACTCTKAAAATGTCAATGAAAATGTCACACTTAGATTKCCATTGTGACCACATGAAGTAAATTCAGGGCCTTTTAAAGGAGTTTTATTTTACTGYTAAAGGCAAATGCACAGAGCTATTTTAAGAACTTTAAGACAATTCAGAGCAAATGTTGCTCATGGATGTGGCAAGGAGGAAAGCAAGAGAAGGCAGCAGTTTAAGGGTTTGTGCTCATTGCTCAGTTGGTCTTGAGGATGGGATAAAATTGAACAGGATTTGTTTTGCTCAGATCTTTAAGTGACAGCTGTGTRTCTTGGAGAATGAAGTATGTGGCACCAGGGTATGTGCTCTGTTGACACTGAGCATCTCAATAGTGTCCTTTCCCATGTGTGCTAATACACGTAGGGAGCAACAGCTCAGGTGCTGAGGGAAATGTTCATTCTTGCTTTGTACAGTTTGCCAGAAYTACTAATAGTGCAGGTTATGTGAATACCTGTCTACTTTCTATGCAAATACCTCTCAATTTAAGAAACTGTCCACGATCTTTGAACTAATTAATTTTACAATGGACTTATTTTACAAGGGGCTTTGGAGAACTTGCTTAACRAATTCGAGCTTGCTTTAGAAAGGTTGTTGCACAGCCACTGGTGACTAATTACTTTTGAACATTCTTAATCCATACTCTGTTTGAACAAGTAACTATGATATAATAGGATTGTAGGCCAGAGGAGTCCTGTGTAACTTTTCAGGTGAAATGCACATGGTTCTGCTTAATTCTCAGAGAGGCTGACTGGGGGATTGATGATGGGTAAGGTTTCGCCTCTTAGCCAGTATTTTTTTTTTTTGGAGGCCATGGTTATTACAAATGATGTTCTTTCCCTTTGTTCTTTGGAATGGCAGCACTGCTGTGTACCAGAGGCAATCCCTCTCACTAATGTACCTGAGCAGCCTTTGCTTTTTARGCTTTATTTCTCCTGATATGTCCAGTCCTCATTGTCTCTGAATCACACAAACAGTGTGCTCACTGTTTGTAAGGATGGGACTTGCTGTTGCTCTAGTCCAGACAATACATTTCCACATGTATTAAATAAAACATTTTTAAAATCAGGCTAGTCTTTTGAAAGTACTGTCATGGAAAACTGTCAGTTCTTAGAATCCTTTAAATTAGTTTCCTGATGTCCATTATTCTAAGTTAACAACATGGCTTCTTGTTTTTTTTTWAAAGCTACTTGCACGACTGGAGGGCAGAAGTTCTCTAAAGAATCTTGAACCTTATCTGTTTGCTGAGGAAGGATCTCCTGTTCATGGTAAAAATGTGTCTTTATGCCATTTATGGAAAAATGTCCATGTAAAAGTATTCTCAGCAATRTGACAGAGATAAGCGTACAAGTAAATTATTTTGCTGTAGATCAGAATTTTAAGTGTTGATATAGTTGTATGCGAACTAGATAAAGTGAATAATGCGATATCACCATCCCAAACATAATGAAATGGGCCTCAAAATCTGCTTTATGCATATCAAAACATAGGTGTAGGTGAGTAAATACCAAGCATGTTGATCAGTGTCTAGTAGTTTTATGGCAATTTGTTCTAGAGTCGGTTATTAAACCTCTTTGTTTGTTTTCTTTTTAATCAGTGGTCTAGACAACCACCACAAAGTTATAACTGCAGAAATTTGCAAAGGACATGAGGTTCAGTAAATAGCAAAGAATTCAGTGATATGGACTGGTCTGGGTAAGTTAGGATAAGGGGCATKAGCAAACAGTATTTTTCAAAACAGCCAAGTCATCAAGCCATTTGGTCTTGACCTGAAAAATCCTAATTATACCTAGAACTTTATAAACAATTCCTTATTATGGCCATAGGTAGTAATTAGTTGAATGAGTTCAAAATGTTAGGATCAACATGGTTCATAGAGACCTTGAGTGAATGAACAAGAATTTAAAATTGGAGAAATAAGGCAACCTCCCAATAACACCAGTACAAGAAATTTTAAGATCAAGGTTGGATATTTTAATGAAAGAAATTTCTGAGCTAAGCAGAAATTAACACATGATTCAGGAAGTCAGACTGATTTTCCAGATTGTATGAAATTACACAATGGAAGAGTCAACTCTGATTACACAAGATTAAAAATATGTATGAAAAAAGACATATGAGTGGCAAACTGTAAGGATCRTGTGAGCCACTACTGTAGAATTTATGGATGAGTGAGTGGATTTCATAAGGCAGGTATGTGGCTTAGGTGGTTATCAGCACACTTGTCTGCAGTTTGAGTTCCCACAAACATAGAAGCTTCAGAAGAAATAGCAGAAAAAGCAATAAAAAGAATCAACATWATTGGATGAGAGATGATGCTTAGTCTACAGACGCAGTCACTGTGAGACTCTTCGTGTATTGTTTTGCAGCACTAGAGAATACATGGTGTGTTTAGCAGTACACGATTCCTGCCCTGAAAGTTTCCAATGTGACATAACAAAGATAAAGGRCAGAGAAATACTGCTAAGCCAGTGCAAGTAGAGCACAGAGGAATATTTAAATGCTCTCATTTCTGAACTGCTGTGTTACTCACAAGAAGAATTAAGGACCAGGAGTGAAATTGATATATGCTTCACAGCTCTGAAATTCTTAATTTTTTAAGAAGATGAGCTGTTACTGTAWTTTTTTCAAAACACTAAATATCAAATGCAAACATCTTTTAGTCTGGATGTTTGGTATTTTTCAGTCAACTTTRCACACAAAAAACAAATGTTTGAGTCTATGTACTGGTCAAACAGACTTTAAGAAGTTTTCTTGTGGATCACTAACTGTCTTTGCTGCAGTCCATAGCACTGTATAATTTCATGTCRAATTATGTGCTTTGCTCTTAACGTTTTATAGGTAGTTCATGTCTGTCCAAAGATGGTTCCAGAACCTCAGTTCTAAGATGGCTGGAAACCTTCTCAAATTCATCACTGGTTTCTCTRTTCCAACACAGTCATTGAGCTTTTGAAGCACTTGTATTTTTCTTCTGCTTTCAACAAATGGTATCAATTATTACCCGTACTGGTCATGCTTTTTGGCTGACATTAATGAAGCTGCCTAACATATTAGCACAGCTCTTTAGCTGTATATATATAAATGGACTTCACCTTTTATTACGTTTTTGCTTTGTCTTTTAATACCACAGTATTCATGTGAGCCCMTGTGTTATTTTGATGTGTGTTCTCATTACTCAGTCTTAAATCCCTGTTGAAGGCCTACCTCTCCATTTGTCATGAACTTGACTTTTAGTGTGTCACTGTGGAATTCTATAATATGTTGGCCATGAAATCTGCACTGAACAGCTCTTAATCTAAAATGCTGTGATTAAAGCAAAGCAAAGACTTAAATTATTCTTTYTTCTGATGGTATTTAAACCAAACAAATATGTTGATGTTTCAATAAACTATCCAAAGGTTACATTTTAGTGAAGTGTTCATAACTTGTGTGGCAGGGTACTGTAAAATAGGGACAGGTAATATAGGTATTAATGTGATACTCTAGCCACTGCTACTAATTATGATGGACTTGCATATTTAAGACACATAAGTACATTAATTACATACCATTTAAGCTCCTCTGGAATGGAGCAAAAGTGACACAAGCATTAAATAATCTTCCATTATTGCCAGTCATGTTTCCCCTGTGCCACTGGCACGAAGGTGTGTGTGTCAATGTAAAGCTCTGATGTTCAGCAATAGTGTGACACCCARCATTAACTTAGAATAAATATTGAGCCTTTCTGCTTCACTTAAAAATGGTATAAATATTAGTGACAGCTTCTGCATGGTATTGTAAATGACCAGCCCAGGAACCTCAAGGTAGCCTAGGATGTGAAATACATGAAGTTATTCATGAGTATTCCAACAACCTGTTTGTTCTGCAGTGTCAGAAAATAGTTTGCTAGTGGATTGATTGCAGACAAAAATAAGGCTCTTATTCAAAATATAATACCAAATTGATGACCAGGACTGAGACAATGTTTCAGTTAAAAATATAGTAGTGTTTCATAAATATTTACATTGCTGCAGCATCATTTAGTTTAACCCGCATGCCCATTCATAGAAGTGGACTATAGTTCTCTCTAGTCTGCCCATAGTGGGCCAGTTCAAGCTGCCCTGAGCCAGGCAATGTGTTGAGTGAATCCTTAAAACCTACTTCTTGAATTCACCAGTGCTGAATTTCATGTGAAATTGCTCTGCTCATCCATCTCCATCTGCTAAATCTTCACAAACTTAAGTCTTTATTAACCCAATTAGTTTGTCTTCTGCATGTTTTGCCAAGCTAATGGAACATTCATCTACTGATATGTTTAACATCTGCCAACACCAATTCTAATAGAAAAAATTCCCATTAACTTTCTTCCATGTTAAAGTGTCTGTTCCTGGTCTCCCTTTTAGCCTGTTCTCATCCTGTGACAGTATCTTTTTACTAATCCTCCTTTCAAAGTTGTTTTGACATTAATGGATGATGCTAGTCCTGATCACTCAGTTTCTTCTGTGACCTATTGTCAGGGTGTCAGAGGCTTCTTGAAAATGTTGCTGGCCTCACTTCCTCCTTTGCTGTGTCATGGTTTGTCCTCTCCGATCCAGAGAAATGAATTTCCCCTGTTATCTTACTGTAACAGCCTGGTTGCTAATTCAATGAAACCCTACATTTATAGATGTTGCTATAAATGGCCTCTGTTTTGCTCCCGTTCTTCTTGTGGGCAGCCTCTTGGATAATCAGGAAGGCACAGAAATCCCCAGCTCTCTTGAGGTTTTCTTGCAGTCCAAGCTGTTAGTGTTCTCAGAGTAACTCAAGTGTCTTGGTCAAACTAAAAGGCAGCTGTGTATCTCTTTCAGCAATGTTGAACAGACTTTCAGGCTGCTTGGCTGTCTTGCGGTTCACATTTATAAACCACCACCACAAAAACCTCTGAGAATTATTTTTGTCATTCAACTTAAAATTTGTACTTAAATAAGTTTTATTAGTTCTACCAATAAAATGCCTCATCCAGGGTTACTCTGTAGCACACAGACACCCTGCTAGAACATCTTCAAATGAAATAGTGAAGCATTTATATCCCAGAATAATTTTGAATCAAACAGGTCATACTTTGTTATAAAGGCAGGTGAAGCAGTCTGTATTGCCTGTTGGCCCCACTCAGTTACTGGTCTGGATTCAGAAATGCCAGTCAGGGTGGCAGAGGTTTTATGCCACAGCCAGTGGCAAAAGATACACTTCGTTCCTTAACAAGAGCTGCCTTACGCAATTGTTCTAAAATATTTCAAGAGATGAAATATGAGGGAATGACCTAGCCAGCACATTTAGGAGGAGCTCTTCCAAGCTGGTATCTCATCCTGCCAGGGTGTGGTTATGTTTCTGGCGATGGCGGTGTGACAGAAGAGCCACTGGCTGCAAGTCTCAGAGTTGGGCACTGTGACCTCTGGACAGGAAGAGAAAATAAAAATTTATGTCCCAGGAAGTGTAGTCATCTTTCATCTCAGAAGAGAGGGACTCATTCAGAACAGCTTAATAAGGGCTTGGGAGGCAATCAAGCTTTTTAATAAATTTCAAAGTATCAGAAATTCATAGAAATGGTATTTCTGAGTGTCACTGAAGTGGACAGACTAGTCACATCAGGCATAAATTGATTTTAACACTTGCAAAGGGAGAAGAGCCTGGTTTCTTCACTACCACCCTCCTCCCCTCATCTCAAGATGCGTCTTTACTTTATAGCCACTTGTGAATGAGCTTTCCTCTGGAAGCTGAGCAGTGACTTGAAAAACCCTGTTAACTCAGGCAGGCACAAACATGTTTAAGGAAAGTTGCAATTAATTTTCTATTCTTGCATTCCCCTATGGACCATTCGCACTTGCCAGGGCCATAGAAATCTCTCACCTTCCTGCAGTTACAGTTGTGTGATTCTCCTTACTGCATGTATTTACCCTTCTACCTAAAATCCAAAATGTCATAAATAAATAATCCAGTTCCCAAAATTAGAAATTTATAAAGAGCAGCCAATAAATTTACTTTTTTTTAGAGTCTTGCTCTGATACAAGAAGTCAGAAGACTTCGGATAAGGCTGTAGAGTATCTTACATTTCACATCCAACAAAAGAACTGGTTTCCTAATGAAGCTTAAAGCTGTTTTTAATTAACATTTTAAATTTTTATTATATGTATTTTATGAGCCACATGGATGAGGTAATTAGGCTGAATCCTTTTATGAACAGAGATCTTTTGCTTCAGACAGAGGAGTTGCCTGGAGATGAAGGAATCCCTGAGTCTCCCTTGTCAAAAGGTTTCATATTATTATCACCACAGTAAAATGTAAGTGCTAAATAAACTTACTGGTGTTCTCTTCACCAGTCACAAATTCCTGTAGGAATCTTGTGATATACAGCATGTGGCATCTATGTGATATGACCTCTAATATGTCAATTTTTTTTTTTGTTTTTTTTCTCTACTTTGCTGTTTCTTAATTGTGTGTGCGTAGTGTAGATGGTTTCTTAGCCACTTGTGTGCAGCAGCTTCCTCTWCTGCCTTCACCTGCCTGTAATGACACAGATGAAGTCCAGTTGCGAACCTTTTATTGATAGAAGTCTCCCGGATGCTGCTGGCAGAGGTTTTCAGCCTTTGTTCACAACTGATKTACTTCACTTCAGAGGCCTTTCTTGAAAACTGAAATGCTTTTTGTATATGTTAACCAGGATTTAAACAGTTTTATGAATGTCAAATTTTCTAAAATGCATTTTCCAATTTGTGGAATAGCGAGTATTSGTTCAGAAAACGCTGAAAACCAACTCTGGGCTGTAAATGCTCACCTGACAACGTGTTGCTTTGTTTTCGAACAGGAGACGTTGTTGAATTCCATGGCCCAGAAGGAACAGGAAAAACAGAAATGCTTTATCACCTAATAGCTCGCTGCATCGTTCCCAAAACAGAAGGAGGACTGGAAGTAGAAGTCATGTTTGTTGACACAGATTACCATTTCGATATGCTCCGTCTGGTCACCATTCTTGAGAACAGACTGGCACAAGGGACGGAAGAAATGATAAAGCAATGCCTGGGAAGGCTTTTCCTTGTGAGCTGCAATAGTAGCACTCAGTTACTCCTCACTCTCTACTCTCTAGAAAACCTGTTCTGTGCTCACCCCTCACTCTGTGTCTTGCTTTTAGACAGTTTATCAGCTTTCTATTGGATAGACAGAAGCAATGGAGGGGAGAGTCTCACCTTGCAGGAGATGAACCTGAAGAAATGTGCTAACTTCCTTGAAAAGCTTGTGACACAGCACCACTTGATCCTCTTTGCAACAACACAGACACTAATGCAGAAATCAGCAAACTCTGCAGAAAGCTTTTTCCCTTTAAAACTTCCACATGAAACTGATACAGACTACAGACCGTATCTCTGTAAATCATGGCAGCAAATGGTAACCCACAGGATATTTTTCTCTAAGCAGTGTAATTCTGGCAACAGCACAGGCTTTACAGTAATTTCTTGCCACCTCAAAAGAAACCAGATAGTAAAACGTTCATTTAGTGTTGCAGAATGTGGAGTTCAGTTTTAACATCAGTTTATTTTGTAATTGTTTATGAAATCCTGGTGCTTGAGGCCTGTTTAGGTCTAAGTAGCTTTTAGTAACTTTCCAACTAGCTGGTTGTTTCTGGGTGATTAAGAATTKTTGTCAACATTTTCTTAAAATGTAGTGAAGAGCAGGGAATGATAAAATTTTTTTATTACTTCAGGAGTTCAGTCCAAACTATAGAGGAATGTTGGCATTACTTGTTTGTGCTTCATCAAGAAAATGTAACCAAGACACACTAAACTCCTGGTATCCTTCAGCAATCTAACTATGTGGCCAAATGCCTGCTGGAATTTCTTGCTGCTTTACACTCCTTCTCTTCCAAGCTCCAGAAGTAGGAGCCTGGTTGTCTGTGGCAGAGGTTGCAAAGAGGCCATAGTTCACTCTTTATAAACATTGGTCTTGGTTTATTCCCTGTAGCCTTGGGCATAAGAAATGCATTCACAATTTTGCCTGGACAAGGAGATTAATTTTCCCAGCCTATTAAATAGTGGCGATMCTGTGCTTTGCCAGCTCTCAGCCTCTCCATTTACGTTTGCAAGTGCTCAGAGGAGCAGGGATTGTAGGTGTTCTGACCCTTACAAACATCTGGCTTAGAAGAATCTTCAGCTATTAAAGATATGGAGACCTTATTTCCATAACTGAAAGAAAAGTAAAGACCCAGCTCTGGGTACCTGTGAGTTTGTGCTGCATGCAGCAAAGAGCTTAGTTTTTGAAAAGACTTAAGTGCAAATTATGGGTTGTTTTGGAGTGGGGGTTGTATTTTTGTTGTTTGGGTTTTTTTTTAAATGATGCCCAGACTTTTTTTCTCCGCCCTTCCTCATTGTTCCTTCCCAATTCTTTCCCTTCCCCACTCTCTCTAAGAAATCCAGGAATGCCGTGCCTCTGGTCTTTACCAATATGTATTTGCCACATGTAGAACATTTGTGTGCAGGATTTGGCATGCAACATGTTGCAATTCTGGCAAAGAAGATTGAGAACTTATGAGAAATGCCCTACAGTTCTGGCAAAGAGCACCATATTATTTATGAACCTAGAGTGCCCTTTGAAAGCTTCAAAGTGTTTTACAAGAAAGAAAATAGCACACAGTACATTATTTAATACCAAAAAATTACATTAGCTTACAAATTCAAATTACTCAAACAAGGGGAAATATTTCTCACAGCGATGTTTGTTCAGTCATGTTACACAGCACGTTTTATAGTTTAGATGAAGAGATTATTAACAAAAATGCATATTAAGAAGAAGTATCTAGCTCAGTATCTTTTTGAGGAAGATGCCTAAAAAACTCGGTTGTGAGACACCTTTGAATTTCCTGACTTCTGAAGCAGCTTTTTGGAACTGAATATACGTCTGGAATCCCAGCTGTGTATAGTTCAGTTACCCCCTTGGGTTCCACCGTGTCTGTTCACAMTGAGTTCAGTTTAATTATTCTTTCTATGGGAAAACATCCTTTTTTTTTATTCTCATTTTAAACTTTCCATCTGAACACTTCTTCATGCCAGTCAATTCTTTCACTGTGGCACATGAGTGAACTTTGCCTTTTCAATGTCTCCCCAGAGCTGATGATCTTAGAGAATGTCACTTTGTTTGTGCTTTCTCATTCAATATGTACTTTATTTCAGAACTTGCATAAATAAACAAATCCATGAAAAAATATGTAACAACCATTCAGCCTAGAGTGGACCCGTTAGATGGTTTACCATCAGTAGACAGTTCTACTATGAGTTATGATAAAAGGCATTCTTGATTTTTTTTGTAAAGAGGAATGGGAAAATTCAAGTAGAACTAGAAAAGTTTAAATTCTGAAAAATCTAGGGCTATGTAATTTCTACTAGGAAAAAAAAAAAAGCCCCCCTTTCCATTGGAGAATATAGCTTGATGATTAAGTTCTTCATAAAATCATACTTGCTAAAGAATATGCTTGAGAAAAAAAAAAAACAATGGATATGTTCTGGGATTACTGTCTGGAAAAAAAGCTTTTTTATTATTCACAATGTAGTTTGTATTTTGCATTGTACTATAAAAGAAATGCCAAAATTGAAATGAAGCCAAAGCTCTAGTTGATCAAAAAGAGCACCTCAGGAAAYTTTGAAATTTCTCAGTTTTATTTTTACTTTGAATACAGACAGATTTTTTTAATTCTCTGGTAATTGTAATATTCATGCTCTGCATGTTTGTTTTAGCTGTATAGCAAGCCTGGATTTCCAAGATGCTGAGCATCTGCATATCCCTGTAATACTGCAGGAAGGATAGGCAGTACATAATCTGTGAGTGCACTGACCTCATACTCTGACAAAATTATGCCATTTGGAAAAATGGACCTTCAGGATACAAGTCTAAGAAATAGTGATAACCTAGGAGGCAGCAATCTTATTTTTACCTTCATGCTCTATGGCTATTAAAAATGGGGTTTGCCATTTTTGAAGTAGAGCATTTTCTCAAAATATTGTACTGACTGTAGTTAGTGGAGACTGTGCATCATCCTTGTGAGCCAGGAGCAGTGTATGAAATGTAGGATTATCCTTGGAATATCCTGTTTCATGCAGATTCTCCTCTTTCACCTAGACCTGAGGTACCACCCTGCCTCCAGCCCACTGTCTCACCTGGGGCAGCAGCTCAGTCTCCCRGAGAGGAAGCACATGTTGGGTTAGTAGGTCTGTGCTAAATCAGCCCTGCGGAAAAGCATGGAATGTGTGTATTCCTGAACTCTGATTTAGCCAGGTATTTCTTAGAAATTAAAATCCTTTCATGTCAGTGCCATTGTTCTTCAGCTCAAGGTGATAYTAAGGCTTTTGCAGGCACAGGAACATTTTACATTCCTTAGAATTTTTGTTTGTTGCTTCATATGCAACATGGAATTAAAGCAGCAAGATTGAAATAAAGAGGAACTAGTTCACCATTTCCCCCATCGTTTTCATAATGAGAGAGCTTCTTAGCAAAACCAAATTAAGGTATTTTGCAGGTTTTAAATTTATTTTCAACTAAACTAGTATTTTTATGGACACCTGGAAAGAAAATGTTGAGTTTTATATTCAGTTAAAAGGTCTTTGTAKTCCTTGACTTTTTATAGAGTAATAAAATACAAATAAGAGTTTGCTTGGTTTAAGTTTGTACTTGCACATAAAATTCAAGTTCCTTTTCTTACATAACTAATCTCAGAAACTMAGTTTTCCCTGGAGTTTGGAAATGGCAGAAGATAAATGTTCTCTTGTGGAAACATAYCTGCAGTTGTATTTTTGCTGGAGAGTAATGGACAAAGGAAGAAGAAATAAATACCACTGTGATGGCAACTGTGTAGAAGCCTTGGACTGTGTCTGAAGAGGAACATGACTTTTTACTTTTCTGTGACTGCTCTAATAAAATGTCTCTTGAACCTCTTTATTCAAATGTACTTTTGATACGCAGATACCATACTGGGGCAACGGGCAGCATCATTTTGCTATCTGCCTGATGCCAGACTTAACACCCACTTCAGGAGAAAGCTGTGCCACACCACCAAACTCCAACTGATGTAGGCAGCTGCAGTAAATTCTCATCTGTGTAAAAGCTGCAGACAGTTGCAATGTGTCCAACAACTACAGAGTAGCACAGGACCCCAGCATTTCAYAAAGAAGGGAAAACACTGGAAGGGCTTGGAAGATTTTGGCAATGGAAAAAAATTTCAGACAGGGAAAGAGGCATCAGTACAATGCGTGTGCRTGATCTGGATAGAGATCTGATGCCCTGCAGTGATCCTGGAATCAAAGGTCTGTCCATCTTTTGTGTGTGAGAGAAGACAGCAGAGTGGCACTTGGCTATGAAAAACATGGAGTGTGACAAAAGGGCCCGTGAACTGTTCACTGACRTGTCTATCATGGTAATGCTTTCAAACTCGACTAGAGTTGACCTGCAAGTTGCTCCCACCTGGGAATATGGATTACGCTATGTAGATGCTTTATAGCTTATTTATAATGAAAATATAAAACCCTGCTGCTCTGGACCCTGGAGGAATTAAATGTAAAAACAGACTTCCTATTTTATGTTGGGTTTTTTTTCCCTCCAGCTCTAGGCACCTTCCCAACAGTCAGCACTTCACTCCAAAGCACTCTTGCAGCTTTCTGTGGCAGGACCAAGTGTCACTGAAAGTGAGTRGTTTTCTCCTTTGCTGAGAGTTTATGTACACTCTTTATTACCAGCACAGACTGGGCTACCCAGAGAGGGAAGCTTGAACCCATGTGACACATCAGTGTAACTGGTAAATAGCTGTGGAGGCTTGATTCTGTTGGCAGTCACGAGTAATGTCACATTTGAGTAGATGATTTTGAAGAAACAGGGCTGTGACTTSCTTTGGGAAAAGTCTGGCACTCTTCCCTCTGCTTTCCCACCCTGCTTTGCATGCTGCCCCAGCCAGCTGGTCGTTGTACCTGTGTGGGCCTCAGTGCTCCAGGATAGCAGTGACGAGATGTCACCGCCTTGCCAAATGCTGGTGAACAGCCATGTTTGGATCTTGGCACTCTCGTTCTGCAGGAGTTGGCACAACCACTAGAGTTAATTTAAACCTTTTGCCAGGCTTCTTTCTCATACATCTCACTGGGCCTGTGCTAAAGACCTCCTAGCTGTGGGGGAGTTAGGAAAGAGATGAAATCTTGGAGTTTGAGCRTAAGAAGGACAAGATTTTTAGGCCRTTGCTCCAAAARGAGGCCAGGCAAGACTGTGAGGTTCCTGTAGKGGCAGACAGAAGTCAAGGCCTCAAAAGTGGCTTGGCAAAGGTCAAGGAGCAGACTGTACATCTCCTGTGAAGGGATGAATAGGAATTCTGACTTAGAGGATCTGCACACTCTTGCACTGGTGATAGAGAGGACAATGTTGTGGTGAACAGTGCTGTTGCTGAGGCACATCTCAGACTCTGTCACTGACAATTATGTCTCCATGCCAATATCTCTATGAAGAGGGAAGTGAGAGGGGGAAGGGGTTGAGAAGAGGGGATGCTATTTGGGAAACTCTTCAAGGCTTTGCTAAAGCATGGGAAACAGGAGAGCAATTTGGTCATCAGAAGTTGGCGAGCAAAGGGCTACATTTCTCTCCAGAGCCTGTAGAAAAATGCCCACAGTAGCAAAAAATGTCTTAGCTGAAAAACAGCACACTCTGAAAAGGTCTGGAGGTTCCAAGAGCAGTTTGTGGCCACCATGAAGAGGAAAACCTGGCTGGAGAGGAGACACCTCAAGAGCTGCTGTTCTGCTCCTCTGAGGTCCTAAAAGCATGTCCTGGTGGAACAGCACATACTGCCACTAGAAGCTCCTGTCACAGCTCCTTCAGCTGGAGATGGGACACTATTCAACCCCTTCTGGGAAGCAGGAACGTAGTGGGAGGCCACCCTGTCCCAATCCTGCTGAGCAGTCTTGCCCATGATGAGGAGCATTCACTTACAAGGTCATGGCTGAAATCTCCCTCATCTTTTATTTTAATGCCTTAACTTAGTGCCTCTGCAGTGATACTGCTGCCACTGCTTGCATTTCAATTACCGTATGCATCAGTGGCACGTTTCTGACTATAAAATCACACTTTGYGAAATTATACAGGTGCTTGTATTTTCACCTATCAGAAAAAAATGATGCATTAAAAAAAATTTATGAGTCCCCTAAGCAAATGCCATAGACCAGTTGCATAGGCAATGAAGTTACAGAAGCCAGTGGAGTCAGGAATTTGAATAACCCACACAGTTAAAGGAAAGGGCTCACCATCTTTAAAATCCATGGAGGCATTCCAAATATGATTATTTTGCAATCCTGTCCACAACAAATCTTGCAGGCTGACACTACATGCCCCTTCCCATTGATTGTATGGCCTGCACAAGCACTCTGAGCCTATTAAGCCTGAAGTCCCTGCTGCAGATAATAACTTAGACATTTCAGTCCCTCGAGCAGACACAAAAAAGTACTTACTAGCACAGTTGTCAATTTTGTGGAAATGTCCTGTGGGATTCCATAAGTATCCTAACAACTGGCAGAGCTCTTTCCKTCGCTCCCGCAGGTGTGGTTAAATCAAGGAGCAGTCAGTGCTAGCTGGAGGCAGGCAGGGCTCAGCTGCCTGGTGCCTGCCAGAGTGTCCGTGATCCACTGCTGACTGCTAAATGCTCAGGAAAGGTTCCATCTCCCACCACAGCAGAGGAGTCAATGAGACCCCCCTGGACTCAGAAGGGAGATCCTAATATGCCTGATTTTCACCACACCGCAGCAGCTAATCAACCTTTCTCAGTGGTGGAAATGGGATTTTTTGACATTCTCAGGTCTTTGCTGGTTGCAGGTGAACTCACGCTGATGTCAGTAAATCACCCCCGTGACCAAGCTCCGCAGCACAGCCCGAAGGACACCCACCTGGAGGCACCTGCTGGGAGGTCCAGCACAGCTCCTGGAGCAGGGCACTGCTGCTGGCATTGCTCCCGGTCAGGGTCAGCCAGCTCTGCTCCTCTCTAGAGCAGCACAATGCTTGCATGTGGTGGCAGTGACTCCTGACCACTGCCACAGAGTACAGACACCACTAAAGAAAACCCCTTTCTCTCATTCTGATCAAATTCCACAGCTCTGCTCATGGCTCTGCTCTGTTGAGATCTCATCCCTGTGTTTCGTGTCGAWGTCACTTCTGTTTTGTAAAGAAGCTCAAGTGGTTTTGCTGCTCTGAACGAAGGACAGAGGTTGCATCCACCCAGTGAGGCCTCACCCAACCCTCATGGCAGTGCTGACTATGAACTACATGTTAACAAGAAAGAGCAGCATAACAGAGTGTCAAGATTACAAAACAGGCTTTTCTTGTATTGGTTTGGGTTTTATTGCTGCTTCTGATATCTCTTCTAGGAAACAAAATTTCCCAATACTTCCTTTTCTGGTAAGACATAGAGKGTGTGTGGTATCCTACCCCAAAGGCAAGAAAAGGACATTCTCTGGGTYTATTTTTTTAACTAAAACCATACTCCAGTTTGGGCTATGCATCCCTCARCAATGTTGTTCCACTCATGGATTGATCAAAGATAGCACAGACAATGGGAAAAGTAGGAGGGAGTGCTAGAACACAGAGAAGACAYGGCTGGAGACAGGTGTTTAAATGAACTCTGGATATGAAGAGAAGCAAATTCTGCAGCACCTGAAAGCCAAAAGTCAAACTTTGAACTATTCCTTCTGAGTYTGCACTTTTACATGTACAGCAGAGCTAAATTAGAGCCTGAAGATAATAAAAATGCAGACACAGAGAATAACAAGGCTGCWTTTCTAGATCTTTTGATCCTACAACCTGTTTTCTCCAAGAGCAAGGTTTAGCTTCAAGGAAAATAAAAGTGACACAAATAAAAGTGATTTCTGTTAGGATAA